CAAGTATTGCCTACTACAGTGTGGCATCTGAAAGATATCAGCCTGGCAACTTTCCAAGCCAGATAAAAGTATGCAATTGTGCAATATCTTGAAAGACTGTTGGCAAGGACTTTGCTGGAGAGGAATTCACTGTAAACTAAATAAAAGTGGTTTATCAGGATGAGTCAACTTCATGCTGTTGGGGAAGCCTAGGTCAGAAGCTAAGTTCAATGCAACCACCTCTCCCGTGTGTTTTTTTTCAATAATCTTACTACCAAATACAGAGTATTAAACTCACATTCTGGATCCAAAACAATTTGTTATTAATCAAAACAGGAATCCTTTATTCCAGGATGGTTACATCTTAGAACTGAGAAAGAAACAACTTCTAGATATGAACAGATACTCACCGTTTTCTTAATCAGCCCTAGTCTGTGCTTTGTATAGTTTGACAGTGGGGGAGATAAGATTCACTACCATCACAACAACTATGGCCGGGAGCTGTTGAAGGCCAGTGAGCAAGTTTTAGTAAGAGTTAAGTCACAAATATTCTGGTTTTTTTTTTTTTCAATTTCTTAGTATTGAGGTTTAGACTTTGAAATGTAAATAATATACCAGAGCACTTGATGTGCCCACAGGAGGAGATTCCAATAAATTATGTTCAAAGGTATGGTATTAGAGCTACCAGAATGGACATCCTTGTACTATAGTTCAGAAAGCAAATTTTAATTCCAATGAGAGGATATTAATGCACAATAATACAATAGACAATACAAATAAACAGTTAAATATGCAAACCAAAGTGAGATACACTGAAACCAACCGGATCTATTTCCAAGGAATATCATTAGGACTTGAGCTGAAAAACATCAAAAAGAAGTGCTTATCCTTAACCTTGAGTCTTTTGCATTCTGCATCGTTCAGTTGTACAAACTCGAAGGAACAGAACAAAACATGAAAATCAGTATTATAGTATGATGGCTACCTTCTTTTTCAAGAAACAGTGTATCAACATAGAGAATAGAATGTCTTTGCAGATATAGGTTTTAATGAAAGATTTGGCAGGAAAAGACTATGTATCGATTTGCATGACACAGTAAATCTTATTAAAACTTATTAATGAACAAGCAACTAGCAATTCCCATGAGTGTCAGCGGTTAATAAAATTAAGACGAACTATGTTTTGCTTTGCATTTTTCTCTAGTTTGTTCTAGGAGGAGCAGGACTGAATCCCTAGTTGGAGAGTACACTAAATTAACCACAAAGTTTGTGGTTTTCTGATGGTGTCTGCTTGCAGAGAGAATTAGCTTGCACCCCATGCTGCTGATTTATTAATAAACCTTAATACACTTGCTGTGTCATTGCAGACTGACTCCATGCAAGCAACAAGATTCAGCTTGGACAAAAACATATCTTGGCTTTACAAGAGAGAAAATGCAAAAATGTCATATTTTGACAGCATATTTTCATTGCAAGTATTTTGGGATATTTCACAGCATATTTTAGAAGCTGTGCTCCATTTTCCAATTCCTCTTGCAATTCTTGTAAGAATATATGTGTATCTCCAATTGCTACTTGTGGCAATCTTTGTTATGGAATTCAGAAATAAAGCTTAATTACCAATAAAGGAGAACCACTCAACACAGTCAACTTGCTGCAGCCAACTCACTGCGGAACAAGAGTTACACTAATATGAAAGAAATGGTGGAATAGAATCATTAAAAAAAAAGAATGCAAAGGAGGGACAAAATGAAACGTGAATGACACAAATTAAATTAATTTTTTTAATTATTTAAATTGAGTTGCTGAATTGTCCCTCAGCAAGTGGTCCCTTGGTGAGTTGGTTGTGAAGTGGTGCCATGGTAAGTTGACCGTGGAAAGTTCTCTCATTCTGGTCCTTGGTGCTCTCTAACCTTGATTGTTTTCTTGCAGACCTTCCAATACCCAGACTAAATAACATCATCAGTACGAGTAATGGCTAATGAAATGACTGCAAAAACAACAACAACACCCAACCAAGCTCAGGGAGCACTAAGGACACCCTCCCTTAATATTAATATGATTGTAAGAGATAATTTTAACTATTGGAGCAAATGTTTAAAAATGTCACTGCCTTCAATCGGCTCACTCTTTTATGTATTGGATCACCGCTGCCTTTGCATTTTCACAGACATGTTTCCTTCAACAGGCTATATACCATATTATAAATATCGTACTTGACATTAATAGGATTTTATGAATTTCAAATACCTGGAGAAAAAAAATACTCTACCTGCTCTAATTCAGCTTCATGAGTGAAAAATGTTTTTATGTATCAGTGCTTCCCATGGTCTCTTTCAAATCATTTCAAGGACACATATTTCCTGAATATGTAGGCTTACATTTAACCATTTCATTGCAAAAAGCCCAAAACATTCCACAAACAAACTCTCTTCCTTACAGGAATAAATCATATTTAAAAGCAAACTTAGTTCTCTTACTAAAGTTGCCAAATGCTGAATAAACAAAATAATGAATCAGCGCTGAACCACAAGTAATTCTCTTTCCACATGTGCTGAGCAGTTAATAGCTGTAGTAGAACTGTCCACAACAGAGCAATAGTCACTTTTCTAAATCACCCAACAGTATTATACAAATCCACTAAAAGCATATATTTAAAAGCAGTGGGCATAAACTCTTCATGTTTAAAATTGCATATACTATTCATCAAATGAGGGAATGAGAGATGGCAAACAGCAAACATTTCCATATGGAAGAGCTGGAGTACTGACCGCAATTCTTTCTCTCTTTTTTAAACCTAATCAAGGCTGATAAAGCTACAGGAGGGCCTTGTACAGCATGGACCAGATTGAGGATTCAGGCTCTGCCTCTATGGGTTTTAGCCAAGAATGGCACATAACAATTCCTATAAATGAACAATTAGATCTAGAACCAGAACTCTTCCTATTGGGGATCTTCAAAAAAATATGTAGAGTACAAAATATGTACAGATATTAACTGCTGCCAGGATTGCCTTTGCTCAATGTTGGAAACAGCCATGCATACCCTCAGAGAAACTTGTTATACAAAAAGTTATGAACTGCGCAGAAATGGACAAATTAACGCTGAGCTTAAAAGATAAAGAGACATCGATATTATATAAGGTGTGGGAATTATTATATAATGGTATAACTGGATAGAACGGAGATAGATTAAAGATAGATAGTTATTAAACATAAGTAATAGATAAAATAAGACTGTAATTATGCATTCTTAACGACGACAATGCACGAATTATTGTCATAAGAGAATCACTACAAATTGCTGTTGTTGAGTGATATAATTTTTTTTCTTTTTCTTGCTTTTTCATGTTTTTTATGTAATTAAAGTTCAATAAAGGATTTAAAAAAGGCAATTCCTATAAATGCAGGTAGTCCTCAACTCACAACAATTGAGGCCAAAATTTCTGCTGCTAAATGAGACATTTGTTAACTGACTTTTGCCCCATTTTATGACCTTTCCTGTCAGCTCAGTGAATCACTGCAGTTGTTCAGTTAATAACATGGTTGTTAAAAGTGAATCTGATATCTTCATTGACTCTGCTTGTCAGAAGTTCGCAAAAGGTGATCACATGACCTCCAGACACCACAACCTGTTATAAATATGAATTGGTTGCCAAATATATGACCATGGAGAAGCTGCAATAGTCGCAAGTCTGAAAAACGGTGTTAAGTCCCTTTTTCTAGTGCCGCTGTAACTTTGAATGGTCAACTGTTGCA